TGGTATTTGAAAATCACATTGGTTCAAAAATTGGTCTTGAGCATAGCAGTGTCTTTTAGGTGTTCTCTACCGTGTCTGGTTGTGGAGTTTTGAAGGAATTCCTGTGTGGAATGCAAAGGAAGAGGTAAACAGTCAATTAAGTAGAGAAGTTGCTGTCAAAAGAGATATATGTAAACAAAGCAAATCTGACAGCAAAATAATCTGATGTTAGCTCTCAGAGAAACACTTGCTATTGCTAAGCCTCAGTTTAAACACTCCAGAGTGAGTGTTGGTGATGTGTAATTTGTGCTTTGGCACCTTTGCAAATTTTACCTACAAGATTTCTCATGGCATCCAGTTGTATTACATTTTGGATTTCTGTATCTTTATCTTGTCATTACCAAAAATAATTGAGGTGAATTTCAGTTAACCCTCTAGGTCTTTCATTGCTTTGACTGTTCCTTGTTTTTTAACTCTCCTGCATAGTACCTCTTTGTTATTTTCTTATTTGGAATATCATCTGGCATAGTGGGACTAGTGTCAGAAATGCTTTGGTTGATAATCCAGTTTAATATCGACTCATTTATTAGCTGTAAAGCAAAGAATATTTAGTTGTTTTAGGTGGTGCTGGGTGAGATGAGTGGTAGAGTAACCAGCAGATGGCATGCGTGGATCGCACATCTCACTGCCTCTTGAATAATCTGCAGATGGACACACAGCAGTTGCCCCTCTGTGCTGTGTTAACTTTCGCACAGCAATGATGAGTAAACACTTGAATGTCGCACGGTGGTGCAGTAGCTGTCAGCCAGTCAGCAGTTCTGTCAGTCATGTGGCCCTCACCGTCCATGCTGTCTACAGTGACTCCCTATTTTGTGGGATTTTTCTGACGTGCTCCTGGGCCACAAGGGTGGGATGCAGAGGCAGTGGTGAATGGTGGTGCTTAGTCCTTAGCCTCACCTCATTCAGAATACTTTTTTCCCCCGTTTCACAGAAGGATTTTGCTTCTAAAAAATAAATTTAACAACCAGTTTTCCTTTGGAATTTTACTGTCTGAGGAAACACAGAGAAAGAATTACTTAACCAGTACTAGTGACAAATTAGATTCAATTGATTGGGACAAATGTAGAAATCATGACAGAGTGATTCCACTGTGTCACTACAGGACCGAAGCTGGTAGCTAGAGTCTTTATTCTGAACAAACAGAAGAAAACTTAACAAATGTGCAGCAGGAATCGGTTAGCAATCAAGGTAAAATGCCATTTATAACAACGCTAGAACCCAAGCTCTCTAAAAACTAAACTGAGTATGTGCAAATGTAAAAAGAAAACAAACACTACCTGTAGTTCTGTTACTTAGTGATGTTTTTGTGTGAACTTTTTCCATGCATAAACTCTGTCCTTCTCTCTCTTGATTTTTAATCTCTCTCTCTTAAAGATTTAATTTGCCTTCTTGTGGTTGCAGTTATTTACCTGACAGTGTTTCATGAATATCTTTCTATGACAATACCATAAATCCCTTTAATTTTAGAAAGAATTTTATTGACTATGTAATATTCCACTGTATGTTATTACACAATTTATTTACTTTTATTTCACTTTAAAAAATTTTTACATTTTCACCTTTTAAAAATTAGTATGTATAATGCATGTCCTGAAAATTATGTAAAACAATACAGTTTAGCAGAGTATTAAGTGAACGTTAACCTGTCATTCAGGAGAGAAAGTGAGAGATGACTGTCACCTTGAAACCTGGCCATGTGCCTTTCCCCTCTTTGGCTTTATGGTACTCACTTTCTTACCCTCACCCCCCTTTTGCTGACTGCTTGAGCACTGCCCTAAATAATACAGTTCTCCTTAATCATATAAGGCTTTATATAAATGGAATTCAGTATTCTTATTTTAAGCCTAGATTATTCTGATTAACTTACTTTTTAAGATTGATACATGTTGTGTGAAGTTGTTTAATTTCATTCCTATGTCTTCATTACTTACACTATTATATACCACGTTTACTCATTCTGCTTTTTATGCAATCTGTGTTACTCTTTTGGGCTGTCACGAATAGTATCACTCTGTGGTTCTGTGACTAACCATGTGCATGGTTGTGTAAGTAACCTTGTTCCTTCCTGTGACCACTGAGGTTTTCCCTGTGGTTTTATTTACACTTCCCTGATGACTAAGTAGGTTGACCGCGTTTTCATTTACTGGCTCTTTGAATTTTCTCATTTGTAAAATGCCTGTTCCTATTTTTACTCATTTTCTACTGGATCAAAGTCTTTTTCTTATTTTTATCTTGGCTGTTGTTGGCTTTCTGCATTCCCATATATGGTTTAGAACCAACTTGTAAGCATCTCCACACGTAGACACACTAGAAGCGGTTGTGGTTTTGTTCCGATTGTGTTGACTCTGTGGGTCTTTTGAGAATTCACATGTTGGCAGCATTGTGTTTGTTGTTTTTCTTGTTCACGTCCAGGGTGGTGTGGTTAAGGTTGTTTTTCAGTTTCAGTAAGGCTTTGTGCTTTCTTTGTGAAGGTCTTGCATGCCTTTCGTTAGGCTTGTTGTTAGGTCCTTATAGTTTGATTCTGTTGTATATGGTAGTTAAAAAAATTCCATTACTATGTTCCGACATGTAGAAATACAGCTTTTTTCTATATTTGAATTATTCAGAAACTTTGCTTAATTAGGGCGGTGATTCTAATGGTTGTGGGTGGATTCCTTTTGATTTTCAGAGTTACGGTAATCACAGCTGTGAATAATGAGTTTGTTTCTTCTTTTCCAATCCTTACACTGTTTTTTCTTCATTCTTGCTTATCTGGCTCTCCTTTGTAGTTTCTTGTTTCCTTGTGTTCTTTGTTATCTTTGTGTGCTAGAGACTGCATTTGGAGGACTCTGTAGAGGACTGGGAGGATTATGTCATTCCCCGATGGCCTGGGACACTTTTAATTCACTTTTGGAAGCTGAGGTCTGGTTGGGAGCTGGGCTGCAGATCTGTTTGAAGAGTAACTTGTGGGTCAGCCCGCCTGTGTCCTTGAGGGTCCTCTCTGAGAGCAGAATCAGCAAAGATGAAAGTGAGCTTTAATTGCAGAGCTGTCTTTGGCTGTCACTTCTTGAACAGAGGGAGACAACCTGCCTCCTTTTACCTTCTTAGGTGGCTTAGTCTAAATTTCCCAGGCTCCAGACAGGCATGCAAGTTAGGATGTGTTCTTCATGGTGGAAATTATCGAGCTTTTAATTTCTGCTCTTGAATTTTTTGTTCCTAGAGGTTTGTTCTTTTCTTCTTTTAAACATCACTTTTTATAGTTTTCCTCATACAGATAGCATTGGACTTGTCTCATCTCCTTACAGATGGCGGTCTACTTATGATCTATGTACCTTGTGAGTGTTGTGGTTGCTCGAGAAGTGTAGTTTTATTACATGGCTTGTTAAATGCAATGTGCTTGACATGCGTTTGAAGTTGTATTTGTAGGAGTACTTGAGGCATACATACTGTGAAGGCACTTCTTCCAGCCAGGATTTGGGTTTGCTTCTGCCAGGTGGCTGGGGCGTTTGAGTCAGGGGCTACCTTAAAACAAGCTGAGGATATGGCATGCCCCGTGGTCCACAGCACTTGAGCAGGAGGGTTTCTTGTTAGATCCTGTTTCCTGTGAACCTGACTGTGTATGTCGACTGTGTGTGCTTTAAAGAGATTTTAACATTTTATCAGTTTTTTCTATGAGAGATTGACCTTAATAATGTCACCTGCTTTGTTGAAATGGCGAGTTCTATAGAATATTAATCAGACACTTATTGGACATGTAGTTTTTCCTCATTATAAATAACATGGTGATGAAGAAGCATTCCTCCTATTTATATACTTGGCCTTTCGTTTGTTTAAGATTGATATGAAAGTAACACCTCCAGGTCCTGATTTCTAGGTTTCTTCACTGTGTTGCCATTGTGCCTAGCACTGTTTATTCTAAATCTTTTAATTTTTGCTTTTTTAGTAGGTAAGACATAATAGCATATTATTATTTAAAATTACCATTTATTTTTACTTATGATGTGACTGCTTGTGTTTTACCACTTTTGGGTCACTTGTACTTTTATACTCCTAATGTTCTCAGCTTATTGAGGGTGACGCAGATGAGAGGTGATGTAAAATCTTCCCTGTTTCTCATTTATATTTCCTCTTCATTTACAATTTTCTTTTATATAGAATTTTAAAGTTTCTTTTGTGGTACTGGGGATTCCTAGAGCCTTGTGCTGCTCTACCACTTGAGCCAGAACATTTGTTTTTATTTGCTTTTTGAGATGGGGTCTTGCTAACTTTGCCCAGGAAGGCTTAGAATTCAAGATGCTCCTGCCTCCATCATTGGAGTAGCTGGGATTACAGGTATGTACCACCAGGCCCCACCCAGTCTTTTATTTGAGCATAATCAACCTGAGATAATAGATTTGTGACTACAAAGCTATTTCTAGAAAAATTTGTGTTTTAGGTTTGAAGTTGCCTTATGTGGCTAGAAAATTGAAAAATAGTTAAACCATTTTTAACCCCGAATAGGTATTTTAATAAAGTAACATGATTTTGGATTGGTATAATGTTCATTTTTAATCTAAAATATTTTTAGTTTGAATTTTTTTTTGGGGAGGGGGCAGGGTTTTGCTGTGCAGCCCAGGCTGGCCCTGAACTCTTGATTTCAGCCTCCTGAGTGCTGGGATTGCAGGCTTACTGTGTAAACAGAATTTTTATTATAATTCTTCTCTTATGTTTTATGTTTTTAAAATTTCTTTGTTCTTTTAATGTGTTTCTTCAGAAGTTGGCAGAGAACAGTTTGAAAACATATTGAAGTTAGATTTTTGTCCATATTTTACTTTCATTAGTGATAATGATAGTTTAGTAATCTGACACAGAATGATTTGAGATATCGGGGTTTACAATTTTTTGCAAAAGTACAGAATATTCACTAGCACAGGAAAACATTTTATTGAAACTGAATGAAGACTTTTAATTTCTTAAACATTACAAAGTATGTTTCCTTTTAGATAAGTGATGAAGAGAAGAACTTTCGAGAACAAGAGATTATTGCCTCGTCACCAAGTTTAAGTGGGGTTAAGTATGAACAGGAGTCAGTGTACAAGGTATGTAAATGTTTAAAATGTTTTCTAGGTTTGTTAGACATGTAATGAGGACCCCTCATTATCCAGTACTCCCTCTCCTGCACAGACCCTGGCCTCATTGCACTGAGGATGTGTGACATCCATGCTGGGCTGTGTTCCTGTAGACACTCTCCCAACTCTGCCAGGGCTCTGACCCCCTGCAGGCCATTCTGGTGAAGGAAGACGCTCACTGCATTGTGTGGGCTCCTCCACCTGGTGCAGGGCTATACCCTACAGGACACCTCATTTCCCATTTGGCTCCAACACTGAATCACAGCCTTGCATAGGAGTCCCCTTTGCTTCCCTGACACCATGCTTTGGACTGCTTCCTCATGTGGTCTTTTGTTCATTTCCCTTGGGCTTTGACACTGTAAACCAACTAGCTCTCCTATGGGAACACCTTCCTTTGCCTACTCAGATTCTAGCTTCCTGTGCTGGGCCACTTTCCTTTTCCTTAAACCTCAGAAAGGGCACCTACTTTGCATGAACCCACCAAAATGACTTTTTAATGAACAGTTTTGAAGGGGAAGAAGGGAGAACTGAAATTGCATTTAAAATTTGGTAACTATAAGCCCACAGTTACCTTGAAAAGAACATGCTGATTACCACTGGTGAATGCAGTAGCTTAAGGTCCTGCCTCTACATTAGCTCACCATCCCAGCTTCCCTCTTTCTACCACTGGGCCATCATTCAGTCAGCCTTTCAAGCTTAGTGTGTGTGGTCAATATTTATGTCTCTCACACTGCACACTTCCCATTACTCTGCATTCACATCATCTTTTGCTTCTGCTTGGGCATTTTTTATTTCCACTGTGGCTATCCAACTAAGCTGGAATCATGGAATATTATTGCCAAATAACCTGTAAGATTTTTTAGCTCGTCTCTTCTGCTCTGAGCTCTACAGATTTCTCTGCTGAAATCTGTAGAGGCATTTATTAAATTTATCACAGCACAAATCTAGTCAGTAGCAGACTAGACTAGGTTCTAGACTTGGATGGAAACTCATGTTTCCAAACTTCTGCCCCCTTTATTACCTGTTATTGTACTGTGGCCCTTGTTACCTGCTCCTCCACTATGTTTTGTTGAGTCACCTGTTTGATGCTATAGCACACATGGTACCACCTGTGCAGCTGTTTGGTTTTTCATGGCTGTGTTGATTGCTGTTTTCAGCTTTATGGGGACAAGGACTGTAGTCATGGATATCAGTACAGTAGTCAAAAACTTGCTGGTTAAAAATGTGATCAGTTCATAGTGTGAGAGGTCATCAGATAAGCAGAACTGTAGGCATACAGAGTTCACTCTTTTCCTAGAACTTGGATGAATGGGCAATTTGGGGGCCAATTTTCATCTAATTTTTAACCTTGCTTTATAAACGAGAAAGATGGTGTTGGATAGTGAGGACGATTTTCACAGTTACATTACATATTCTGTTCATCTCTTACAATTTTAGGATAATTCACAGGACTTAAAAAATCTCTGTGTGTTATTTTTAAAATAAACACTTATGGCAAATATTTAATAGCAAAACCTAATGCTTATCATGTCTATTTCCTAGTGTTGAGATCAGCTTTTCCAGTATATTTCTCTGGGGAAGCAATGAAGACTTAAATGAGGAAATGTAGAGTTACTTTGTTTACAAAGTGGTTTTCAGCATGATTATGTTGCACACAAACTAGAATTCTATTCAGTGCAGACTTAAACTTGGGATGTGTCATGTGAGGTGAATGTAACAGACTTAGAGATTTTGAATTAGCTTAAAATGCTGGCTATTATAATTTATAAATTCATAGGTTACGAATAAAAAGAAAGCCTTATAATTTGCTCTTTATTATTATTGTTATTTTTAAAACATGAACCCTGAAACAAATTTATTTTTTATGCTGCTACTCCTTCCTAATTGCTAATTGTTTAGTTTTAAGCATTAAATTGGTCTTCTTTGGATTTTTTTTTAACCTGGTAGGATGAATGGATTTCTTTGTTTGGCTGGTATGTGTGGAGATTTAAGAGGATTTCCTAGTGACAGCCCTGACTTACTTTGCCTGTTTCTCTTTGAACAGATCCCTTTTGCTGATGCTCTGGATTTGTTCCGGGGAAGGAAGGTCTATTTGGAGGGCGGCTTTGCCTACGTACCACTGAAGGACATTGTGGCCATTGTCCTCAACGAATTTAGAGCCAAACTCTCCAAGGCTTTGGCAGTAAGAATTTCTCTTTATTTCTATATTTGACACGTTCACATTTTCAATTATATATCCCTTAGGGAATAAGTTATTTTAATTTTCTTAATGATATTTAGATTACTTATGGTATTGTGCTGTTAATTCTAGAATTCCTGTTTCTATTTATTACTGTTCATAGTACCTTTCTTATTTGTTCTAATTCTAGTGGTGAACTTACTAATTTTGTGAGTGGCCTCTCTGAGTAGAAAATGGGGACTGTAAATATACTGAGAGAAAGACAAAATTCTGAGTTCCTGAGTTTGTACTTAAGTCATTTTTTTAATGAATGGCAGGCACTTAAGCCTTGTACCTTGTTGATTAGAAACATAGCATATGATCTTTGCATTCCATTCTTACTCCTTCCCTCCTGTTCATATTCCCTCTCCAACCTACCTTTAAGAAACTTAATTTTTCTTAAAATTTGAAATAAAGACAAACTTACAGACAATTGCAAGAGAAACATGGTAACTTTTTCACTAAACCATTTGAGAGTTGGTCCCTGATTTGTGCTGTCACTCCTAATACCTTTTAGCATGATTCCTAAATAAACAGGACTTTTTTCCCACATGGTCACTCTTCCCCTGTCAAGATAGGGAAATTAATGTTGAGGTGTTCATACCATCTGATCCTCAGACCCCATTCATGTTTCACCAGTTGTCTCAATCATGCTTTTCATTTCAAAGGAACTCAAATCTAAATCACTATGCTGTTTAGTTGTCATATAACCTCTTTAGTCTGGACCCATTCTTCCTTTTTCCTTGACTTTCATGGATGCTGGTACTTTTGAAGACTTTAGGCTAGTATTTTGTAGAATATCTATTTGTCTGTTTGATGTTTCTGCAGGTTTAGGGTTGTTAAGACGTTTTAAGCAAAATGTCATAGAAGTGACGCATGCTTTTCATTGAATTCTACCACTTGGCAGTGATTTTGATTCTTCCTAATTCTGATGGACTTCACAGAAATGTGTTTACTTTGTGTTGGCAGGCATTTGAATTCTCTTTTTTCTTGGTTATTACTAATACTGCTGTAACAGTAACATTCTAGAGTATCTTTTGGCAAACACAATTCTGGTGGCTATATGCTTTGGTGTAGAGTCATAGGGTAAAGAGTAGGTGCAGGTTTACTTTAATGAATGTGTCCTGACTACTGTTAGTGGGGAGTCACGCAGTGTTTGGTCCCGATGTCTTAGATTTGATGGGCACTGCCTCCAGTGCCTTGTCTTGGGCAGTGCTTGGGCTTCTCCTGGGAGTCAGTGCCAAGTCTGGTTGAGAGGCCCAGAGAGCCCCTTGCCTTATCGTGCAGGACAGCCATGGACGAAGCAGAGAAGGGAAGGAGTTTCTTTTAGAGTGTCGGTAAGTAGAAATCTAACCCTACTGCTCTGGTCTTTTCATTCCTGTCCTTTTTAGGATGGGAGGTTTTGACCTTGGATATGTAATTGAAAAATTGCAGTTTTACAAATGGAAATGTTCTTGTAGGATGAGAAAAAGTGCCCTAAAGCAAAATTTAAAAACAAGTAGTGTTGGGGGAAGTTGTAAATTGATGGCTCAAAGCTTATTCTTAGTATGTGATTTTTACAATATATGAATCTGGCCTTTTCTTTTCTTTTTTTTGGCTTTTTGGCAGGTGCTATTATTGCTTGAGCCACTCTGCCAACCCCAAATCTGGCTTTTTAAAATAGTTTTTTTTTCTGGGAGTGGGGACTGGGGTTTGAACTCAGGATTTCACAGTTGTGAAGTAAGCTGTCTACCACTTAAGCCATGCCTCCAGTCCATTTTGCTCTGTTTATTTTGGAGATGGATTCTCATGAATATTTTCCCTGGATGACCTCAAATCACCATCTTCCTGAACTCAACCTCTCAAGTAGATAGGAGTACAGGCGTGAGCCACTGGTGGCCAGCTGAAAATTCTCTAGGACTAGTAAAACTTTGACATTACCTTCTTCTTTGATATGGATTCTTTTCTTATCTTACTAACTCATTGTGACCCCACGTCCCCCAGGAGCTCTTCCCTGGCCCCCGAGATTGTGCTTAGTATATCTCCTTTGTGCTGCTGTAACACTCCAGTTGGTGGGAAAGCTCATGCAAACTGTGATGAAACTACTCCCCTTATGTGTTTTTCTCCCCCAAATTTCTCTCTTTCTCTGGCATAGGATCCATGCTCAGTAAAATCCTATATAAGAATAGGAACTTTCTTTTGTTCATAGTATATATATGTCTCATTTGATCTTACCTTGAGCTTTTGAGATGAGGATTGCAGTCTGCATTATGCAGATGAGGAAAATGCAGCTCTGAGAGGCTAAGTAATTTATCTAAAGTTATGTAGGCTAGTAATGGTTGGAGCCATGTCTGGATCTCAGACTTTCTGTTTATAATATGTAGGATTTGTTGATGATAACTGCATTTGTAAGGAGTTGGATAATCAGGGGATTTAGATTTTAAGCTCTGAGAAAACACTGGAAGATCATCCTTTTGTCAGTTTATTTAAGCCAAAACTTTAGACAACATGATACAGTAGTCATGAACACAGTTTCTGAAGTCAACTGCATGGATTCAAATCCTGCCTTTCAGAGGTTGGGGATGTAGCTCAGTGTAGAGTGCTTTCCTAACATGTGCAAGGCCCTGGGGTGGGGGGGAATCTGCCTCTGCCTGTGTTCCTCGTTTCCTGTGCAAAGACACGATAGACCTCAGAGTGTGGTAACAGTACCCACCACAGGACTCCTATAAACACAAAACGGATTAATTCATGAAAAGTGTTTAGCAGAACACTTGGCAAGTATTACTACATTTAAGCCATCATCTTCATTATCATTCTGGTTCCTCTTTTTCTCTCACAGCAATCCACCATGTCAACAATACTCAAAATCACAACTGAAATCTGTTGGCCTGCTAGTGGTCATCAAGCACAGTGCCTTTGCTTCAGGTCATCATCTAGATTAATGTGAAACTTTCAAACTGGTCCTCCTGCTTCCATCCTCTCTTTATCTTCTGAAGTGGTTTCAAGCAGCTACACAGTAATTGATTTAAAACATAAATCAGGTCATATAACTTCTTTATTCAAGAACGTATCTGGTATGACTGATCCAGCTTAGTTTCCGTGAAGAGTAGTAGATCATCCTGGAATAGTAGGCATAGCCAAGCATTTGAATTTGAGTGGGTGCTAGTGGCTTCTAAAGGTTTTCGTCGCAGTCCATCAGTTACAGTGTCACACCTCCCTAATGTACAGATACAGCCTCCTGAGTAGCTAGCATGACAGCTGGTAATACCGATGCCGGTATGTGCAGTTGGAGTCACAGTTGTATGTTACTGGTGATGGTGATGGAGAGGTGCTTTTGCAATAGGCATGTCACCAACTGTTTGAGGAGAACATGGTTTTGATTTTGGTGTGTGTTAACATAACATTCAGGTAAGTTTGGGTTGAAACTCAGAAGACTGCTTAGAGAATGAGACAGGCTTAGGAGTCACCCACATGGTTGTGGAAATTATGCCAAACTACTGGGTACAATTTTAAGAGAAGCATATGAAGTTGAGTACCAAATAGGAAGCAAAATATGTCTTAAAGTTGTTGTGAGCATCAGGTGGATGCAACGAGTTGGACTCCACAAATGAACAAGTCAGCACAAGTAAGTCTTGGCACCTTTCTCCATGTGTATCGCACATGTGTTAGAAAAAAAGAGGACATTGGCACTACTCACAGAACAATGTAGAGTAACTTGTTTGTTTTAGTGAAACATTCTAGGTTTTTGATATATCAGGTTTCATTTATTGAGAAAAATCAGTGCCATATATGAAGGTATTTTAAAATTCCAAAGTGTTGTATATAATAGGTGTTCATCTGAAGTGGCTAGTTCATGCGAAGAATAGTATTTTAAGAGGTTTTGATTTGTCCTTTTGTTTTTCTCTACAGTGCTTTGTAAGGTTATGTATTTTGTGACTGTGGAAATTATTGGTGGCAAGAATTTTAATGATTCCCTCATTTCAAATTTTCTTTGTCTTCTGGTTGCCAGCAATGTTAGTACATATGCATAGACTTTTTAGAGTAGGAAAGGACTTTAGAGTTGTATGGCAATCGTTTGTGTACTAGAGTGTATCTTAGTTCGGCCTGCTGTAACAGATTTCCATAGACTGGATTTCTCTCTGTCTGGAGACTGGGGGCCAGCGTCAAGGTGCTGGTACATTTGGTGTCTAATGAGAGCCTACCTCCTGGTTTGTGCCGGTTATTTTCTCATTGCATCCTCAGTGAGGATGAGAGCAGAGAGAGGGCACAAACAGTCTCATTCCTTTTATAAGGGCACTGAGCACATTCATGAATCTCCACCTTCCTGACCTGATTACCTCCCAAAGGCCAAGGGATATGCTTGCTTGTGCCATTTTGTATGGGAGTCTTAGCACAATGCTTTCTTTTAGGACGTTCTCTGTAAAACTCAACAAGAAGGCCTCTTGATTTTTGCTTGTGTAAGTTTAGCACCAGAAAGGCCTTAGCGTAACTCATGCAGCTAATTAGTGAAGGACCCAGATCTTTCCCTGCAGGTCTTCCATGACAGTTGAGTTCAGTGCCCTTTGACTGTAGTTTGTTGCCTCTCCTAGGTGCAATCAGATACTCATCCCTGACACTGCCTGCTGAAGCACCCTCCAGTAGGTATTCCCACTGCATATTTTAAATACTTCAGTGAGTCCAGGGTAGAGGTCATGCCAGATTCAGTTTGGTCATCTCTGATACCAAGTATAGTGCCTTGTGAAGGGTTGGGTGCTCAGGTCTGGTGAGTTACTGTGAGAGCTGTGTGTTTGTGTTCTTCTAGGTTAAATGGGGATGCATTTCAGTGTATGGTGCGTATGTGTTAAGTGCTTTACATGTAGGATATTTCAGAAATCTCAACTGCAAATGTTTATGACCTCAGAATGCTTCTGAAGAACTGTGGAAATTGTCTGCAATAGTTAAAATTGTTACTCTTGACAGTTTTTCTGTGGTGTGTGTAAGATGTG